AAGATATTATTAAATCATATTATAATTTTTGTAACTTATTTTTAAAAATATGATATGTAATTATTTTTAGAAAATTGTAAAGTTGCAATTATTACAACATACACAGTGAAATTTGATATAATGGAACCATCCGTTCCAGTAAAAATATCCGGTATATTGAGACTTCTGATATATCAAAAAATTTTGATATACTGGATTTTATATATAAATCACATGAAATTCCATTATATCAAGTTTTTATTTGTGTGACATGTACGACGAACATTGAAAATTTTGATTATTTTTATTTAAAACATTATTTGAGAAATTTTATACACTGTAATTAACTAAAACCTAAAAAAAACCATCTATTCTATCCTGTTTTTGCTTTTTCTTACTATCCGAAATAATTTTTTTCTTCAATTTAAACAAATTTTGCATATCTGAATTATCAATACTCAAATCATTTTGCCGAACATATCTAATTAATTTTTCAATGCTATTCAATGCATCAGAAGTAATAATAGTTTCATCTTCTTTCTCCTCCACATGTTCTTCTGCTGTATTTTGACCTCTAACCATATTAACAATCTCCTCTAATGTTAATTCTTCTTCAGTAATTAATTCATCATCAATATTGATATATTCTTCCATATTTAAAAGATCTGTAATTGGTAATTCATTGATTAATAATTGTAAATCTTCAATATCATCTTCAACTTCGCTATCATCACCATCAGAAGTATTAGATTCATCATCAGGAAGAATTTCAGCTTTAGCCCAACTATTAATGATTGTTTTTTTAGTTACCATTTTCCAAGCCTCAGCAATTAAATTGATAGAGTCAAGAATATCAACAGGAGGTGGAGTTTGATCTTCATATAAATCATAAGCCTGAATCTGATTTTTACACAATAATTTACGGTATTGTGCTTTTAAGCTATAGATAATACCTTGATCTAAAGGTTGAAGATGGGAAGTTGTATTTGGAGGTAAAAAATGAATTTTAATATTTGATAAATTGCTAATATTATCACAATCATGACACTTAGCATTATCCATTAATAAAATAATATGGCGCCTTTCTCTATTCATTTTTGAATTCAATCTTTCAAGAAAGTGGTTAAAAATACTTCTTTGCATCCATGCTTTTGAATTCCAGTAATACCAAACAGGAAGAGATTTCTTTTCAATTCCTTTTAATACACGTGGAGTTTCATACTTATGAATAAAAAGTAAGAGTAATTTTTCATCACCAGATGCATTGCATGCTGCTAATATGCTAACTTGCTCTTTAGGACGTTTTTTTGCCAATTACTGGCGAATGTGCTATTGTTTTACATGGTAATAAACGCCAAAAAAGAGCAGTTTCATCGCAATTCCAAATATCTCTCAATTCATACTCTTGAAGAATTTCTTGCAATTCAGCTCTCATTTGTGGAATTTCACTAATTGGCGCACTTCCAGCTTCTCCCCTAATTTTAAATGTATGAAGATTATTTCTGTGTTTAAAATTACGCAACCATCCTTCTGATGCTGAAAAATTATCAATATTAAATAATGTGGCAAACTCTTTTGCCTTTTCTTGAATAATAGGTCCACTCAGAGTAAAATCTCTTGAAATTTGCTGATCTACCCAGATGCTAAGTGCCTCTTCTATCTGTGGATAATTACAAGTTTTTTCACGAAATCTATTTGCATTTGGCAAGATAGAATTGATAGAGAGCCAATGTTCAGACTTTTTCAAAATGTCAGATACTGCACTATCAGAAATTTCATATTCTTTTGCCAATTGAACACCACTGAGATTTTGATCCCGACGTTTTTCACAAAGTTCTTTTTTTTGATTAAAGGTTAAAGTTTTTCTCTTTTTTTTTAGAATTATTATTATCAAATTGTTTTCTGTTAACTTTTCCCATCTTTATTTTATTTTATGTAAAGAAGATTGTAATAAAAAAATTATCGTGTTGTTCAAAAAAAAAGAGATTATCTGTATCACGTGAAATACTGTAATTTTATTGGTTTAAAAATGTGAATCGTCACGTGTTCTGGTATATCGAACTATTTTTATTATAACCGATCTGTTATTTGTTCCGTTATAGCTATTATCGAGATTTTACTAATAAATTCTGTTATATCAAACTTATTTTAATATATGTGATTTAGTTCCAGAAAAAAGTTCCAGTATAAGGCCAGTTCCGGTTTATTGGGGTTCCGTTATATCAAATTTCACTGTGTACATACAACACTTTTGTTATAATTATAATATAATATTATAATTATTATACAGTCAACCCTTGTTATAACGAACCCTAGGATCCAGACCTCAATTTCGCTATAAGACTATAGTGAAGATTTTAAGAGATTTGATTGGTTAATTCGTTATAGCGAGGGAAATTTATTATAATTGTCTGAAAAATTCACTATCAAGGGTTCGCTATATCAAGGTTTAACTGTATAATATTATAATTACTACTAGTATTATAATTACTACTAGTATTATAATTATTATATAGTGTTGTAATTATTTTCAATTATACAAATATGTATTAATTATTACTTTTTATAATGATATTTGTTTTACAAAAACTTATTTTTGTAATTTTTATTTTTTAAAAAGGAAATTTTTGAACAATTATAAATGTTGTAATATTACAACACTTTAACTTTAAAAGTAGTAATAAGTTGTAACTCTTACTATTACGACATAAAGTAGTTTTTATCAATTATATATTATATTATTATTTATACAAGAAATAACCCTAAGCAAACTGCACAAATATAAAGAAATTTGAAAACAGTTCCCTAACTTTATTAGTGATAATATACTTTAGTAAGTATATGATTAGTATAAAAATTTTTTATGGTAGCATTAATATCAATATATTTTGTATAATAATATGAAGTTAATGATAATTAGCTTCTGATGATATAATTAAAGTAATTAAGAACTGCTATAAATACTAGGTTTTAAAAATTTTTTTTCACTGATTGTCAGATAATGATCACATGAAATTAAAGGTTTTTAGATTTTACAAAAAAAATAGAATAATTGGAAATAAATAAGCAAAGGTAAACTGTTATATTATATAATTTGATTTGCATATAAAATGACTGGTTTTTGCTAATTATATCATTATTATTTTAACTCTTATTACTTATAAAATGTCTACTAAAAAAATGTTATTGAAAAAATGTCCACTACTAATAAAATTGCTCCTTATTTTACTTATAAAATAACTACATATAAAATGTTTAAAGAATTAGAAGAAAAGATAAAAAAGCTAAGAGAAGAGTTGAATGTATCTGTTAATTGAACTGAACTAGCTAAGTGGATTGAAGCCATACAAAGGACATGAAGAAGTGTTATTATTTTTGAACCAAAATAAACATATTACTTGCTCGGAATCAGTTGATAAGTTTTTGATTTATATTATATTTCTATATATATTTAATCAATAAATTCAAAATTATTAATTTTTAAAGAGCTGGAATTAATAATAAAGAAAAACATATTGCTAAAGAAACTTTTCAAAAAGATCAATAAAAAGATTGGAATGAAATATTATTCTAGAGCTTTTATTAAAAAAGCTACAACTATTACTTATAAAATGTTTACTGAAAAAATATCTGTTTATTTTACTTATAAATGATTATATATAAAATGATAATTACTAAGCCTTCCAGTTGATATTTTTGATATTGTTTTAAAAGAAAATAGTTTATATACTTTTATTTTATTTAATAATCATTATATTGTATTATACTATATTTGTGATAATTGGTTTAAGATATTAGTATATTTTCAAGTTCACAAATTTTCTTAATATTTACTTACTAATAGAGCCAATATGATCAATATAAAATAATAATTTATAATAAAGATTGGTTTATATTATTTTTTCTGCTAATCAAATTTGCTTACCATTTATTATTATATTTTACATTATATACTATAAATTACTACTAATACAAATACTATACATGAAACTAAAATTGGTTAATTTTGACCTTCAAAATGGTCGAAATGGTCAAAATGATTTGACTTGAACCTTCCAAAAGTTGAAATAGTCAAAATTATATTATAGTCATATGATTTTATAGTAAACAATAATATTAAAATTCAAAGTTAATGAACTCCGCATTCAGTGATTCAATTTTTATGATCTTTACATAGTTGGATTCAGCTCATCAAAAGGATTCTAATGATATGTTGGTATTTATATTTGTAGTATCAATATTGATGGAGTTATTCATGTTTAAAATTTGGTATTAAATAGTCTTATAATTTTTATAGTAAACAATAATTTTAAAATTCAAAGTTAATGAACTCTACAAGGACCCCGAATAATACTGATATAACTCACAAATGGGTTTGCGTAGAGTTTATATGAAATTACTTTTTAAACCCATAAATTGAGTTTGCGTAGATCGGTCAATTTTGGGATAACTCACATATCACGTTTGCGTAGAGTTTATAAATATATTGCATTATATGTTGATCAATTGTATAATATTGATAAAAATTAAGTTGCGCAAAACCATTAAGGATGGGTCCGTAATATATTTATGAAATTTGCAATATTACGGATTTTGGTAATTAATTGTATATAGTAACAAAATGTAATGCATTTCGCATTATTTTAATATTTTTTAATAAAAAAAAAGTGCGAAATGCACTACTTTAACAAAAAATGGTGAATTTCGCACCATTTTATTAACATTTTAATAGAAAAAAGTGCGAAACGCAC